ATTAGTCTCTTCTTTGAACATCCTCTTACTTTCACCATCACCCCCCAAAACGTGGTTTTCCAAAAGTTTCTTTTCTTCCTGGAAATATCAACATCTTAACACTTCTGTCCCTAAGTGACTACTCAAGGATTCTTACTTCCCCACACCCTAAAAGGATGGCAATCTTCTTTAAAGTTCCTGAGTTACTCATTTCTGTGAATTTAGCCACTATCTTTGTCTCCAGTCAACTGAAATTTTAACAAGGGCCGGGCGGTGGTGGCGCACGCCTTTAATCCCAGCACTTGGGAGGCAGAGGCAGGTGGATCTCTGTGAGTTCGAGACCAACCTGGTCTACAGAGCTAGTTCCAGGACAGGCTCCAAAGTCACAGAGAAACCCTGTCTCGAAAAACCAAAAAAAAAAAAAAAAAAAAAAGAAATTTTAACAAGGGCAAGAAATTTTAACAAGGGCATAAACACATGGAACACTATTATAGTAGAGCTTCTACTTGTAATAGTTTCGTTTTGATACCTTTAAAACAAACAAATCCCTAAATTTGTCTCCAACAGGTTCTGTACTAGACTTTGCAGTCTATTTTGATATGATTAGCATGATTAGTTCAATTAAAGCCTCATGAATGAAGGAAGAAAATTGATAATCACTGAGTGAGCGCTGTATATTATACACCAATGTGTGCGTGTTTATTTGTATGTGTGATACTATTTCATGTCAAATGCTAACATCAAAATTATGAGGCATTGATCAGATACACCACTTGATCTCTTAAAAAAAGTCGAACAATCAAACAATAACAACAAAAACCAAGACTAAGGCAATCAAACCCTAACGATGTCTTGCTCCCTTTCTGTCACAGTATTCTCTATGTTCTTAAAGACGCATAGTGAAAATCTGCTGTCCAATAAGTTACCCAAAACATTGTTTCTTCTGCTGCTAGCTGAGTTATCCACAGTCTTTTCTTTCTTTTCCTTTCCTTGGACAAGAATTAGACTTCTTTTCAAACTTTTGGGGGAAGATGAAAAAGGAAATGCATTTGAAAATAATAATAAATTACCAATGACAGGGCAAACTAGTGGGAAATGTTCTACCATTCACCTAGTAGAAGATCTTATGAAGAATGAATTCAGGGTTCTTTCAGTGGGTTGCTAATGACAGTGTTCATTCCTGTTGCTACTTATGTTCTCCAAGTTTTTTAAAGATGTATTTTAACCATTTAAAATGTGATGGTTTGAATTTACACCCACCTTTTTTAGCTAGTTGATAACATTTATGACTTCCTCATGGTTTACGGAGAAACAACATAATTGCAATTATGAGCCTCTCACATTTTATAAACATTTCGAGTTCCAAGAGTACACTAGGTAGTGGTTTTAGGGTCAGTGCATATTCTCCCACTAAGCTAATGTCAAAGGACTGCTATTGCTCATGCTAGAATAGTCTTATTCTTCCTTCCCCATTCCTGTCTACAACTTCCAAAACAACAATCAAGAGGTAAATTAGTTAATCAAAAGTGAGTAAAGTAGGAGGTGGGAGCAGAAATCTGTTCATGCCATACTGATTCTGTTTTACTGTACTATGGACGTTCTGCACCATGGTGGGAATATGTATTCACAATGTAGGAGGGGATAATTCAGTAGGAAAAGGCTGACTTGATGGGAAGAAAAGCCACCCTTAGCAGCCGTTCACCAGTCCTCTGAATCTTCTTTATTTATAATTTAGAATCCTCGTCTCCTACATTTCCGTACTGACTGTAAAATAAAAGGATTATGTGAGAACTCTCAGATTCTTTAGCAAGTTTGTGATGTGTGACGTCTACTTCAGACATGTTAAAGTTAGCAGATTCTAGGAACAGCTTTGCCTTAAAAAGCACTTCTACAGACCAACCTTTGAGATTTTTAATAGTAATATTTTTGTCTTGTTTATCTACTAATTTCAGTAATAAAAGTATTTTATATACCATGCTACATCTTTATTTTGAATTTATAGTAAGTGTGATATGATGTGTTTTGATATATACATGTTTTGTATCATTTGAATCAAGTTAGACATCTTAAACATTCAGCATTTCTTCATGGTGAAAGCTTTTGACATGTCTTCTAAGAAGATATTCTAACACGTCTGTATGTGTATGAATGTGTATGTCGGACAAAGTCATCCTCTAATATCTTATTTTATCATTCCCTACTTTGGTTTGTTTGTTTTGTAAGGGCAAGCTGCTCTTTCAAAACCTAGAGACCCCCCAACCACTTTTTCTATGCTTCAAATGCCTAGCCAACAGGTCCCGGAAAACCTCTCGTCTCCACCGTCTCTAGTACAAGGCTTACTTATAATCATGTACCACCTAGCTCAGTATTTGACATGTGCTCTGAGAATCTGAAGTCAGCTCTTGTTCTCAGAAGGCGGCAGTTTGCCCCCTGAGCCCTGTCTAGACTCTTCTGTGACACACACACTTCACTATCCTTGTCTGCTGTTCCTGTGGTCTATACGCCAGTCCCTCCTGGTCCAGTTTGCACTCAGTACCTACTGGTCAAGTTTTCCTTTCGCCTACTTAATAGTGCTCCATTTTAAAAGTGATCACAATTTTAAAAGTTTCATTTTTATAACAAACATTGAATGTTCTTCCATTACATCCATTTTAAGGACAGATTACGAGAAACTGAGTTGTTAAGTTTGAGCAAATTCCTTTTAAGTTTTCCCACCCCAATTCTTGGGCCACTTTTGTCTTCTTTCTTCTACTTCTGTCCTTCTGTCAAAGTAATTAATTACTATAGATTTAAATTTAGTGAGAAGAGATAGAAGTATTAAAATTATGAAAAGAGTAATTAGGACACTATTTTAATTCTTTGAGCAATAATGTTATATGATTCCCCTGTTTGAAAGATAAGTTTTCAAGTTATCTTCTACATATAAGAGACAGCATAGCATGTGGCTAGAAACAAAAGCTCACTTCCACATGAAAAGCTAGATTGGACCTGATTTTCATCAGCCTTTAGTCTGCAGTCTTAATCTTGGTGACTAGGCAGCTGGTGGAAATTGAATGAAATAACGTAATTTAGGTGTTGTGGTCTGCTTTATCTTCCTAGTGTTTTCTCTCACCCCAGAGTCTAAAGATGGTTCCCTGGCTTCCTAAGGAATTACACAGCTACACAACAGCAAATACATAAAAACCAGACAAGTTGCTCAAACTTAGCATTCAAAGGTCAGGTCTCAATGGAGGTTTTGAAGAACTGTCTTCCAGAATGAACAAAACATCTTGGGTTAAATTTTTAGCTAATTCCAAAATTATATGACAGTGATTTTTGTATTGCTTCTTTTGCTTTAATTTAGTTTAGTTTCTGAAAATGGAAGCCATAGAGAATATAGCCTACAATCATCGGTGCTTGGGGTAGAATAAGACCTTATACTTCCCACCAGGTTTTCAGACACTAAATATAAAATGTGGCTACTTGTTGGTAGTGCAGGTATTCCTCCAGAATTCTCAGGAAGGATAGAAAATGAAAGAAAGAGGAACAAGAGGTTAGGGGAGAAGAGAATAGCCAAACAGAGAGAGGAGAAACCCCCAGCTGTAGTTTATTGACCTTGTAATGCTTAGCCCCAATTAAAGTTTATGCTAAACATGGTAATTAATGCTGACTGCCTGGCTTCATGCTGCATAAGTTGTATGTATGACATTATTTTATTAAACCCTTACCTATACTGGATAAAGCAACCCCTGTCATCTTGAAGTAGTTCCAATAGCACTTTTCCATAGGCACAGAAATAAAACTCAACTCAGGAATGAAAGAGAGTTCTTTGAAATCTGGGGGCTTCCTACATTCCACCTTTGGGCTGGAAACCGTGTGCGTGTGCGTGTGCGTGTGCGTGTGCGTGCGTGCGTGCGTGCGTGCGTGTGTGTGTGTGTGTGTGTGTTGGACTATGGACACAGTGCAATAAAAAAACATTTGTTTCATTATATGTACCACGGGTGCTTCCTTTTTCATCTGAATCCTAGCAAAGAACTTAGGGGCGTCAGTGGACAGTGGGAACGCGAATAAAAATTGATGCAGAACAAAAGCACTTGGGATGAGGCCAAAAATACACTTGAAATGTCAAGCAAGTGTTTTGTGGCTTGTTTTTAATAGCTATTCTGAGTGCATTGTTACATGTATTTTCTCTTGCTTGTAGTTCAGTCCTAGCTGCATATGCTATTGCTCCAACTGGGAAAGGGAGCAGAATTCAGACTTTAGTTACGACTTTCGAAAATAACAAGTAGCCCTGGAAGGTCACCATGGAAGCATCCCGAGTCATTTCAGACAGTAGCGTGGGACATGAGCACCCTTCAGCCACCCCCCCCAACACCCACCTCATCTTACAGATTTAGTAAAAGAGAGGAAAGAGATTGTTTACCTGCTTCTATTGAGGCTGAGGCCTGAAAGTTGTGTGTAACCTTTGAAGCCCTTGTAATGGTTATAATCACAGGGATGGCATCTTTTTGACAGACAAAACAGAGAAAAGAGCCGAACCACGCTGGAAATATTAATGAGGCTATTTTGGAGCAAGGGCTATTGCCTATGAGATCTCTCATCATGAGTCTATACTTAGAATTCAGATGAACCCCGGAGGGAGGGGAACCGGGCAGTGTTAATCCCCAGTTGTTTTGAAGTTGCCTGGTTAGCAGGTTCGTATCTAAACCGTCCAAAATGGAAGTACTGGGTGTTTTCGGTGATGCGACTCTCTGTGTGTATTTTGTTTTAACCTGTTTGTCATAGGGACTGTTGCATCGCTCCGAGAGATGACATTTCTCCATTTTCTTTCAAACTGAATGTTCTTCTAGTGAGCGCTAGCTGTAATCAGTTTGGGAGCCTGATGCTTCATGACAGCTAGAAGTTGGATTGAGTTTCAGGAGCTACTATATATAAAGCTGGGTCGACTTATGTCACCGCACTAATTAAATGCCATCTGGGTGGCTCCTCTGGGTTTTTTGAGTCCATCACCCAGTTCAGATCAGTCAGAGGCCAAGGAGAACATGATGATGGACCTTTTTGAAACTGGCTCCTATTTCTTCTACTTAGATGGAGAAAATGTGACTCTGCAGCCATTAGAAGTGGCCGAGGGCTCTCCTTTGTATCCAGGGAGTGATGGTACCCTGTCCCCCTGCCAGGACCAAATGCTCCAGGAAGCCGGGAGCGACAGCAGTGGAGAGGAACACGTACTGGCGCCCCCGGGCCTGCAACCTTCCCACTGCCCGGGTCAGTGTCTGATCTGGGCTTGCAAGACTTGCAAGAGAAAATCTGCTCCTACAGATCGGCGGAAAGCTGCCACCCTGCGCGAAAGGAGGAGGCTAAAGAAAATCAACGAGGCCTTTGAGGCCCTGAAGCGTCGGACTGTGGCCAACCCCAACCAGAGGCTGCCCAAGGTAGAGATTCTGCGGAGCGCCATCAGCTACATTGAGCGTCTGCAAGACTTGCTGCATCGGCTGGATCAGCAGGAGAAGATGCAGGAGCTGGGGGTGGACCCCTATAGCTACAGACCCAAGCAAGAAATTGTAAGCCCAGATGTTGCCAGAGCCGGGACGTGTAAAGACCCATTAAATGCCTTCGTGAGGCCTTAACCTCCACCTGCTTGGTGCCCACCCCTCCCCGCCCTGCTCCCTCTCTAATGAACCCCCAGTGACCCAAGAAGACCGAGCCCCTGCCCTAAGCAGGAAATGCGGTCCGGCCCAAGGAAGCAGGGGAGACACCCCCAAGCCGCCTCCTCCCCCGGAATTTGTTTCTTTCCTAATCTGTTGCTTCGGTTTTCTTTCCAGCTTGAGGGTGCGGATTTCCTGCGCACCTGCAGCCCCCAGTGGCCAAGTGTTTCGGATCATTCCAGGGGGCTCGTGATAGCTACTAAGGAAGGTAATGTAAAGTAAAGGGCACTGGGCTGCACTGTAAGCATCCGGCTCAGCACCGGGATGCTCTGGCCGAGCAGAGGCAGAGAGCACTCAGCGCTCATCACTGGCTCAGAGATAGACTGTCAGTGTCCAGAGCCTTTTTTTTTTTCCGCTCCCACGGACGCAGTCTTCCTGAGCCGCCTTTGTAGCCTTTTGTGGGACACAGCTGCGCGTTTCTATATGCTCTGTTGTTTTTTCCACCCCTTGTACTTAGGAGGAGCAAGCGTGGATGCCTCGGCCACCAGCAGTCTCCAGTGCCTTTCTTCCATAGTGGACAGTATTTCCTCGGAGGAACGCAAACTCCCCAGTGTGGAGGAGGTGGTGGAGAAGTAACTCGGCCAGCATTTGGGACATTCTTCACTCAACAGGAAGACCTCTTATGGACTAATCATTTAGGTTAGGGCTCACGGACCCCAGAGTTTATGAAAGCATATGAAACACACTCACAAAGAACCCCTTAGTCACCTCAACTGAAAGTTCTTTGCCCCGCGCTTTTAATATGATTATTATACGATTATTATTATTATTTGGAACCGCTAGTGGCTTAGCTCTAGAACCCTAATTTTGTTTTTAATTTGGTTGGTTTTTATAGCATCTTAACTTTTATTATGGTCACGTGACCCTTTGGTGTCGGTTGCAAATGAAGTTCATTCCTGTCTAAATCCAAGTGGGAAGCTTTAATCCGAATGGTGTTTAATGTACTTTTGTAAATAGTCTTAGTATTTTCGTTTTTATGCACATCTAAAGACTATATTTTAAATGTGGAATTGAGCATTGTATATAAACTGTGTGAAGATCCTGTTATTGTAATATTAAAATATTAATATGTTTCTACATGTACAAAGAGGTGGCCTTCGTTTGATTTAACTAGAAAAAGAAAAACATGAGGGCAAGCAAACAAAACTAAAGAACAGCCATATTTTAACTTAGATAATACATGTACCCAGTTATTTAAGACTTTTCTCTCAGCCTAACTTAAAAGGAGGAAAATGAATGTTAGGGTCGCAGACTCAATTAAACTGAGTTCATTAACATTCCATGTAGATCCTGTACTTGTTTTTAATAGAAGGAAATATCCAGAAAGCATCTCTATTCTCCTATCTTTCTTTTCTTATCTTTCACTTTTTCTTTTCTTACTATTCTATAGTTGGTAATAAGGGTGGGATTTGCTTACTCTGAAATTTAATTTTAAATGTCCCAAAATTTCTACATTCATTTTTCTAGAAGAAATTGAATGAATTCAACCCAAATTATTATATATTTTTTCTATTCCTTGGTGTTCTATGCTGTTTCCAAGTATAGATCTGAGGTACCCAAGGCCTATGTCTTGATAGCTGGTTTTCTTGAACTAGACTAGCCCCCAACAGACTGGAATATCTTCAAGTGCTCTTTGGCCTGAGTTTATTTTCCAAACAGAAAGATAAAAGAAAAGAACAATCTGTCTCTTGAAGAGGGGTAGGTGTCTATGAAGGGGGTGAGGGGGGTTGCTGCTTCAAGAGATGGAAGGGTTAAATGCTTGGGAACTAAAGATAACAACACACATGAAACCTCTTAGCTGGACCAAACAGCAAAGCCCCAGAGACCAGAAAGCCCCAGGAGCTCTACAACATGAAGATTTTACAACGTGTGCCGCGTCTGTTTATCCTGTAACCTCAGAGGAAGGAAAAAAACGACCACCAAGAAACACAGCGGGACGTACAGAGAAAGCATGCAGTCTCTACTAAACCATGCCTTCTGTCTAACGCTCAGATTTTCAGTTTGTGACATTTGCATAAACGTTGAGATTCAGTCTCTCTAACCCAGAAACGTTTTGAGCATGTTTGTCAACAACAACAAAAAAAAAGTTTGGATTTTGAATCATTTTAGATTTTGGTTGCTGGAGTTGGGTATACTTTTGTTCGACTAATTTATTTTCTGATCATATGAAAACGTCTGGGTTCTTCTAAAATTCTTCAACATTCAGAAAGTTCTGTTGAGGCGACTGGCATTGGCATGTAATTCCTTTAAAAGCTTTGAGAGAGAGCAGGTGGCTGTGCTCCATACTACTGGGTCTCTGTGAGGACTCTGTAAACCAAATCCAGGCTGCTCCTGCACAACCCGAACCAACCCTTCTCCCGTTTAGTGCCCATACCTTGTTTATGAAACAAAGGGAGGGAGGGTTCTCCATGTCCCATGGGCTCGTGAAAATTCCCCAAGACAGCGCATGCTAAGTGTTGAGTCAAGAAGGCACAGACTGACACCCATATCGATGATTTTTATTTTGTATTAGTAAATCTCAAATTGGCCAACAAGAGGTATGTCACCCAGCACCGCAGTTTTTTACTTTTGCTGGCTTTGGCTAGGGACAATAATTATCCCGAGCAAAGAGGATGAACTATCTTTAGTTTTGTATTAATGTAATCTGACTATAACCAGAGAGAACGGCATTTGTTACTGCTACTTCAGAGGCTTCTTGGAGTGGAAACTTCTCATCTGGTGAGTATAAAGTCAAGACTCAAAACCAGGGAAATATGAATAGCTGCAAGATTATGCCCTGGATTATTTTGTATCCAGAAAGAGAAGCCTTGGAAAAGGGGCAAGGACATCTATAGTCTGTAGAATTATTTGGATCTCTTAGACAATTCTTTCTGAAGAGCTAGCTAGCAAACTCCAAATTATAGCATAACTTTCAAAAATAAATACCAAAGCATTTACTAGTCATGGGTAGTATTTACTACCCAACCAAAATATGGGTAACTATATCTGGGTGGTCTCTGTCTTTACTAAGCATACATATGATATATCTATGAATTTTTTGAAAACCAAAGGATTTGCCCTAGAATGAGCTTCTATGCCAATATTTTCAAAAACTGAATTATTTGTGCAATTGGCATATCATAATTGATCAGGGAAACATATTTATCTTAGATTTACAATATTTACAATAAGATTTCTATCATGAACTATTCTGTAGCAGAATGTGTCTACCAGCTCATGGTCTTTTCTCGCTGATGGATTTTGTTCAGTCTTGGCAGACCAAATCCTGTCTTTCTCAGCTGGGTAACCTGAGAAACGTTTAGAGTGAAGTTGCCTATGGGAGCCTCTTCTTTAAATAGAGAAAATATTTTCCAAAGAGTTCATGTGACCTCCAGAGCTATAGATGAAATGTTAGGGTTTCCAATGAAATCCTAGGTCTATTTGTGATTAAATTGTTTTTGTTTGATATTAATGATGATAATCTTTAACCGAGGCCAAAGCCAAAATAAACAGGGCTATAGGAGCAGAAAATTAAGACAGAATAGCTTGGTAAAGATAAGGACTTAGGGATTGAACTTAAATCTCTTTCCAGAGGTTCATATACTGTCATATATCAAATCATCAGTGGTTTTCTTTTATGCTATTACTGAAATAAATCATAGATATCAAATGTCAATAAGCTCTCTCTAGCTAGCTTTCATCATCATACCAGGATCATGGACTTCAAAGTCTGGACACTGGGGAAATTTGCTGATGTCAAATGATGTCAATTTTGTGCCAAACTCTTTCATGAGTTTTTTGTGGGGAGGACGGAAATTTGGGGCTCTTAGCAGCTATTAAGAGGGGCAGGGAAAATCAGGATGCTTCTGGAAGCCACTTTCAAAATTATGAAGACATTGTTCTACCATTCACATTCTCCCTTTGGAAACATCGCCTTTCTTCATTCAGCGACCCTTCCTTTCATATATCCAGATATAGGCATAAAAAGTTCCTTTATGTATGATTTTAAACATCATGTATCTCATTGTCTGATCATTAGTAAGCAAGCAATAATAGCATGATATTTCCTTGCCCAGAATTCTCCATTCAGTTTTAAAAATGAATGAAATCATTCCAAGATGATCCTTGGCATTAGAAAATTGTTTCTGCAAAAACAAGGTGTTTTGCAAGCCTGGTTACAAGTCATGCTGTGGAATGAAATGTCCCTGCCATGTGCCAGAGGGCGGGGCAACAAGGGTAGTGCTGAGGAGACAGGTTCCCCTCTCTCCTCCCCTCTCAAGGCTGCTAAACGCCCTGATATAGCCCTTTGATCTCTCCTGGGAGTCTTCGAATTCAAGCAGAGGCCAATGTCTTCCTCAGATGTCTCGTCCACAAATTCTTCTTACAACTCTGGCAGGTACTAGTGTGTTGACATAGGTGTGCCCAGCTCCCAGAGCCGGGTACAACTAAAAACTGTTTAGCAGGTTGTGAAGTCATCCACAACAAGCAAAAGCAGAATTCTGCAGGTAGCGGCAGAAGAATGGAGAAGGACTCGTGTGTGTGTGTGTGTGTGTGTGTGTGTGTGTGTGTATGTGTGAGTGTGTGTGTGTATGTGTACATGTATTATGTATATATGTGTGTCTTTGTGTCGCCACGTTTCTTACATGAACCAAATATACATTTCCTACACTTTCCTCCTTAATTTGTCTGATTTTGTTTTCATTCAAATCCCACACTTCCCCTCCTCATGGTCTGTCGTGTAAAAGAACAGCCCAGCCTTCTGAGTGGGGAGGGAGCCTTTCTCCTCTCTCAGGCGTGGGTTTTCTTCTTTTTGTGCAGACTGCCTCAGGGTTTTTGATCTCCCTCTGTTTTAGCTGCGGCTATGGCTTGAAAGTTTTTGCCTCATTTTTTATTCTTGTGTTCTGAGATCCTGTTTTCATCGCTTGAGTCCCATGGGCCTTCAACCCGGACCCTGTCTCCCCTCGGCAGGACTCATTAAGCAGCCGGCCGCTTGTGTTTTCCCCTGCTTCTTCAGTTCCACTGTGCCTGCTGCACTCTGGTAAATTTGTTTGGAGATCACCTTACCAGAGACAGCCTCTAACCTCTGAGAACTTCTGCTACTGACAGAAGCCCCTGAGTGACAGCGTCCTCCCAGCCCAGGAACCCAAGGAAAGACTCCAGTGTGTCCGACTTTGTACTTGTATGAGCTGAGGAAGCCCCTGAAAACTCAGGGAGAATGACTGTATGAAGCAAAAAAGATTACCTCCGGGGGCTTGGTGCCATTTCTGAGGACAAAGAGACTCATTCAAATGCCTTGTGGACAAGGGCAAATTATCCAGCCCTGGAGCGAAAGCTTACCTTTGAAAAAATAAATGAAATAAAGTGACAGAATTCTTTCTGTGAATATGTAAAAGTTGTGAAGAGCAGTAAACCAGCCATTCCTGGCATAGTCAAGGCAGTAGCTGTTAGGTATATCCATGGAACACTGAGAGGGGTCCCTGGAAGGAGCCAGAAGACACGAAAGGAAGACTCCCTGGCTTCCACTTCAACTCTAAGGATCGAGTTGGCATCCCAATCACCATGTTGTTTTAGCTACTTCAAATACAAGAAAAGGGGAGGGAAGGAGGAAGGAAGAAAAGAAGACAGGGAGGAGAAGAAGGGAGGAGAGGAGACGAAAGAAGGAGAGGAAGAGGGGGAGGAGGAGGAAGACCATGGTTCTGGGTTGTGCGGTTG